ATCCGACATGGACATTTCGCTGTTTGCTAAGAGCAAGCATGTCGGTTCGGACAGTTGGTGGCGCGAGCACGGGAACGGCCCACATGACAATGTAGAAGATTGGAGACCGATCGAGCAAGATGCAGTTCCAGATGTCTCGATTACCGGTGTAGACGAAGGAACCGATCCCATCGAGGGCGAACCACGGACCATGCTGCTAGGCCGCATCGCCCATTTCGATTCGCCATTAAACTTTGAGGGTTCTTTTTTCCAGCGACACCGCGCCGAATCTATTGGCGAGCTCCGACTTTCGCACCCTGGAAACAAGACCGAAGCTGGTGGCAGCGAACGTTGGGAAGAGGTCCTGCAGTATCCTTTCGAATTAATCGTGCGAGGCAACTTTAAATACACACTGCCCCTCAGCACGCAGGAGTTCAAAGTCCCTGTCACGGCAACCCATTACTACGACCCGGATATCGAGCGCAAGAAGAAGCTCGACTTTGCAGAGAAAATAGAAAAGAGGAGGAATCCATTACCTGTATCAACAAAGCCTTGGGGACGTTACGACCGCAGAGCCCTACCGTTCTGGAGTCTCCTGTAGCATGTCCTATCCTGTATCACAACATTGCCCGAACCAGAGGGGCTAGCACAACCGTGTGGCCCTAGCAATATCGCCCAAAAGAAACTGATACCCACTAAAAACGAGTTCACGACACAATAGACTTGTCCCGTCCCGGCAATCGCGAAATCAGCAAACGCGTTGCCCTTTTTTCTTTCGGCTCCACAGCCGTTCACGAATTCCTTTTTCGATCTGCAAACCACCACACACCGCCTCCTCCGAACCGGCTGTTCGCATGCTCTCACAGCGAGTGATTTTGAGCGCCCTTCCTTGACCTTGCGCTTCAGCGATGGTGTTTGTATCATGACGTTTTCTTCTTCTGCATTGCCCAGCTTTTGGAGGACCCAGCCTCCGTCCCCAGCGACTTTCAGCGCTTTTCTGGTTTTAGCTTGGAGGCGGATTGCGCCTTGCGAGTCCAAATACATTCCTTTGATCTCTCTTCTATGTATCCATAATTTAGCCCTTTACTTTTGGTTCCGGTTGGACCTTTGTTCGTTCCCATAGCGGCTAGGGTGGTGCATCAGGTTAGGTATGGCATGGCATGGTATGGTAGGGACTGGAAAGACATTTGCATTGCGCTGGGAGTATGGACATAGAGGAATTTATTGAGTTACTCATACTGATATCTCTTATCTTGGCTCCTGTGATGTACTAAATCTTGATACCCAGGTCATGAAAATCGTTAGGTCCTTGCAGGGCAGGCGACCAGACATACTACAGAAGAGCGCCATGGATACATCTAGCGGTCAGCCTGGCCACCCTTGCTCTTCTTCGCTGGTTGCTCCGCAGTTCCCTTCGCTCCCGTGGTAGCCGCGACCTTACGCTTCTTGGGCGGTGCCTTGGCAGTACCCTCAGCGTCCGTGGCGGCCTTGGTAGACTTGTGTGCAATCTCAGGAGCAGCCTTGACCTCCAGAGCAGACTTCTTCTTCTTCTTTTGGGCGTATTCTTCCTTGGCTTTCGTCTCGGTTGCCTTGTCCTTATTCTTCAACTTCTTGAAGAATGCATCGAAGTTCTGGTCGTTCTTGCCCACCTTCTCTAAGCCCATGTTGTGCCCGGCGCGGCTGGTATAGGGCTTCAGATTCCATGCTTGTATCTTTCCGGTGCTCACATCCTTTCGATACAGGCCCTCGACCATGTACGCATGTTGGTCGTCGTGGAGGAAGTTACACGCTTTGCGAGGACAAGGGAGATTACTAGCGGGATCAAGGTCGTGCCTCTCTTCCTTCGTGCACCTTGTTTTCCATCTCGGTATCTGCTTGGGACGAGGAATGGACTCAGGAGTAGGGGTTTCCGAGGTAGCTCCCTGCTCTGCGGGGTTGGACTGGCGGCCGGTGTTCTCGTGAGGTCTGTACTGACGTTAATGGCTACTTTCGCCCATCAGGCTACTGACAGAAGAACATACCGGACTCGTGGCGGCTGCAAGATACGATGGGTGTCTTGAAGAGTTGGCTCTTGTGGATGTGTACCCTCTTGGGATGTCTCAGATTTCTCGACAGCCCCAAACGCAGCCATCATCGCAGCCTCGAACTCATCATCGGGTGCGTCTGTTGTAGACATTAGAGTTTGTATCTTCCTCGATCTGGTCAACGTACCCTGTGTGTTCTTGGAGATATGCTCGTAAGCCTTTACCAGGGCCGGGCTCATGGACAACTCGCGGTCGGGTTCATCGACTTTGCTGCGAGCTTGTAGTAGTACGTCTGGCTCCAAGCCCCCCAGCAGTTCCTTGGCGGCAGCGAGCTTGCACATAAGAGTGTTCACCTTGTCCAAAGTCGTGACTCCCGGCATGTCCTTGAGGGCGACATCAAGACGAGACATCCCGGTTGCGGTGGTATCCCCCAGGTCGGAGGTTTCATCGCCTTGACCACCATTCACCACAGGTCCTAGGTCATATTCCGATGAGGACATTGCGTTCACTTCCATCTGTATGTCAGCTTCATCGCTTCACTTCGGGGTTACAAAAAGACTTACGAGGAAGAGTTGGGTATTGGGAATTGGGTATGATTAGAGAGGAGAAATGGTAAAATGATCGTGTGGTATCAATCGAAGGAGACGCTAAAGAGTAGTTGTGGGACGAGGACAGTGCTCTTTGCGGTGCTGTAACGGGAGCCTATCGCGTTTGCAGTGACGTAGTGGTATCGAAATGAAGGTCTGGAGTCGGCCCAAACCCATGTGACTGCCTACAGTCTATCGACGTTCAGATTCACGATGGGCCGCTTATACACGTCTTAGTCTCGTACTGGAAAGCCGGATGGCTCCGATACGTTCGAACCTCCCCCCATTTTAGTTCCTCTTGCATCCTGCTTGACACACCATGATTCATTGGGCGTGAGCCTGTAGCCTGAACCATGCGGGGAAGGCTTGGGCTGTGTAACCACGCAAATTCACCATTCACTATCTTTTGCGACCGTAATCAGAGCTTCGGCTGGTCCAAGCGCCAGTCTAGCGCCTTCCACGTCCTTTTGAATAACAGCTTCCACTCTGTTTACCATTCTCTTTCTTTAGTCGCACTCAAATCCGCAGGATGCGTGCGACTCGCAACCTTCGGCGTTCTAGCCTGCGCCGGCCGCTGCCGCTGATCGACTGTAACTCTCAAGCTTCGATCTTCTCTATGAAGGTAAGTTCTGGAGATGTCGCGTCAACCCTGTGATATCCAGCTGACTTGATACTTACAGATCGCCGGGTTCTGGCGCACTCGCATGCGCACAACTTTCACGGAACCGAGAGTACAAGTTGACAGACGAACGCGGCTGAGTGAACCCGACAGGTTTGCTGGACCCCAACAACGGCTGTAGTCTTATAGGCTGTGGTTTACGCTACAGTTGGCTGGCCCTTAGCCTTTATGGATTCGGGTTCGGCAGGGTCTATGCTAAGTCAAGGAGAGTGATGGCCTCTTTGACCGCATAGATTGGGGCTATAGTAGGTTCGCAAGTTCACTACCGCTGGCCCCGACGGCTTACCACCACTGAGGTGAGACGCTCTGGCAGATAGTGGGTCTGTCGTCAGGTTCAGTTATGGACAGTCACTGCTCGTATGTCAGGTACAATCGTTGGATAGACAGGATCAGCAACCGCGGCTGCCTTCTTCGTGGTCCTGTTTCAGGTCACAACAATGGTGGTTCGATTCCATCCCACGTGTACCCGCCGCCGGTGTTATCCTTCTCAGGGAAACGTGTGCGGAAGATATCTGCGATAAGAAGACTTGCGGAACTTCTGATAGGTCGAATGACCCACGATACATGACATGCGGGTAGCTGGCTCCCATATCGACGACAAAGAGACAAGAGATCAGCGGCGGTCGTAAAAAGCCTAAGCTGTTCTTCTGTTTCTCGAACCACGGCACTTGGAGAGGGGCCCATGTGCCACTTTTTGGACTCTCCAAGACCGCCAACCATCGGTGGTCGTACGCCTCCGCCGATGGAAAATCCTATGTCACCATAGGTAAACTTGGTGGATGTTTGTGCTATCGTTGTGCAGGCCAACGTAGTGACGGCAACACCGCCATTTTCCTGAGGTCGGTCTTTTGCACGATGTTAGTCCAGTGCAGACCCAATACCCGAAGAGGTCGGTTCTCTGCCAAGGTCTCGACTCGCGTAGAGATACATACCCAGACTCAGGACTATTACTCGCGGGGCCCGGTGGATGAACATCAGGTACGTACCCCTTCCTACCTTAGCACCCCTTTGGTATCGTCTTCACCGAGCGTAGAAAAGTCCTGACTGCGGAGCATCTTCACGGATGTCTCGAGGGCCGGACGAGATCTCAACATCTCACCTTGGGCAAGTGTCGAGAGTGCTCGCACTTCCAAGATCAAGTGGCAAGCCATGCGACGCAAGTCGTCTTCATTGGGCATGTCCATACTGCGATTCAACTCGCAGTATCTTTTTCATTGAGTCATCCGCCTTTATGGCGGGTCTCGAGGAAGGAGAAGGAGAAGGATGAATAGAGTAATGAAGCTGCATCTTGACGTACGGGCCGGTTGGAATGACTCTGAGGCAATGCGCAGAATCGCTTATTCTTCAGTGCTGAATGTATACATTAGAATCATCATGTCGCGATGCTGAACCCGGAATTCGATAGCGGCTCCCAGGACTGCGTTGCTGCCGATTACTCAAGACGAACACTCGCAAACCACCGAGTCTTGCTTACCCTCCCCTTGATACGCAGACTCAGATTCACTCGCGATAAGGCTCAAGGCTCGAACGCGAAGCCCATAAGTGCGCTGCTGCTGTCACAGGGCAGCGGGTCGGCAAGACGGGGTTGCGATACCTCCTGAGTGAGCTGGGCAAAATGACGTTTACATCCAGGATGACGCTAACCTGATCGAGCCACCTATTCGGCAACTGCGCGTCGAGCATGTAATTCTAGGGACATGTTGCGCACATCAAATGACATTACTATGTTGTCTACATCTCATCCAAGACCAAGCTATCCCAAAGCCACCCTCTCCATTGCGTTGTCCTAGTAACCTTGATATCCAAACGGTTGCTTCCCTCCCCCTTCAACGCGCCTTCCGCGATCGGAATCTCAAGCAACCTCCACTCGCCCGCCCGTGTCGCACCACGATACGTATCTTGGCTGTTCAACAGACTGGCGCTGGTGATGTTTCCCACCTTGACGTCGTTGAGCAGGATATCGCAGCTCGAGCCCTGAGAGAAGCCCGCCAGTGAGACCGTCAACTTAGCGGCGGAGGTGCTCTTGGAAGGGAAGAGAACGGACCAGGTGCCGAGAGCAGATTGGCCGAAACACCAGTCAAGAGGAGAGCTGGTACCGACAGTGTAGGTCAGATTTGCTGGGCACTTGGAGATGCGGGCGTGTTCGAATGGGTGGGCTGGGTCAGCGAGCTTGAAGCCGTCGCTTGTGCGGTCGAAGTCGCCGATCTGGAAGATGCGCTTCGCGCTATCGGTGACCTTCCATGTCATCTCCTTGAGGTTCGTGTTCTTGCCCTCGCGGATCACGACGTCGTTCTGGGTAAAGTTTGTTGTGACATCGCCGATCGCGCCGCCGTTACCCCAAGCATAGAGCGCGTAGGTGCCGGTACGGATGTCGTGGATGTCGAACTTGCCGTTCTCATCGGCGTAGGTGGTGTAGTAGTAGTTCTGGCCTTGGTCGAGCGTGGACACTGTGGTGTTGCGGTTGTCTCCAAGGAACACGGCAGCGCCAGCAGCTGGGCGTCCGTCGCTCAAGAGGAGCTTGCCTTGCATCTTGCCGCGAGACTGGTAGGGCTTGTTGTCAAACCACTTATACGGCCAGGCTGCTTCCTCCTTCTCCCAGCGGGCTGCGGCGTCGTCTTTGCTGCCATCGTTGAGGTACCAGAGCCATGGACCCCAGATCTTTCCATCAGCAAATGAATCACGCGCAATGGCCTGGTAATGTGTACCGTGAATCATGTTCAGCTGGACTGCATCGCCCGTCTGGGACTCGCGGTGGATCTTTGAGAGGTTAGTATCAAACCGCATACCAGTGAGGCGGCTGGATCGAACATACCATGAGCTCCTGCTTGAGATGATCGCCGTTGTAGTAGTCCTTCCCAGGATTGAGGTACCAACTCCCCACTTCGTCTCCATAAACACCGTAGTATTCTTGGTCTCGAACAAACCCACTCCAGTCATACTTTGTCAAGAATGACCCGTCAGCCTTTTGCCAGGTCTCATCCTGGACGTTGGTAGCTTGACGGTATTCTTCTAATACGGGAAGCACACCATCTTTGACGTTGTTGCGACCACGTGGAAACGAGGTGTTGTCGAGACGCCATAATGTACGGAACTCGCCCAGCGTAGGCAAGTCGTGATTGACAAAGTACTGGTATGCGCCTGGTAGGTCATCGTAGATCACCCAATGAAAGTCGCCTTCCTTCGCCGTAAATTTGACGTTGATATAATCGGTATCCGAGTCCACAATCGCGGCGGATGTCCAGTTCAAATCAGATGCCGCACCGTCTACAGGTTGTTAGCTGTGTTGTGACTTCGTTGCCGCAGCACCTTTTCATACATACTGTAACTAACATAATGCCCAACAGCATCTCCAACACGATCCTTTCCCTTGTACCACAGCTTATCGGCATACTGGCGATTTTGCGTAACATTCCAGATCTCATTGCCAATGATCCAAGTCGAGTTTCCAAGCTCTTTCAAAAAGCTCTTGGGCTTCTTTGCGCGCTCCTCTACTGGAGCAGCCGCAGCGAGCGCAGCAAGGCCGAGGAACTTGAGGGCACTCATGATGATCACGTCGATGCGAAAGTGTGCTCGGCGAGGATAAACTTGAAGCCATAGTAGCTCTGGTCATTATATACCGCTGCAAGCATACACGTCGCTCGAAGAAAGCTAACGTGCCTCTCGGCGGAGATGCCCCGAAGTTATTACCGGGTAAGCACTGGGGTCGCGGGGTACCTGGAGCAACCCCGGACAATTTGATCGACAAGAACATTGTTCCGGAACTTCCTGCAATCGCGCTTCTTCGTTCTCTAGTAGCGCATTCTTGGGGCGGTGTTTGCCCGCGCGCGCATCCTGGATTTGGGATGGCGGTTGTGGTGACACGGGTGAGGCTCCCTGCAAAACGTGGTCAACCGCCACAGCGTTGGGCGAAGAAGCACCGAAATCGTCTTGAGAGCGTTAGGCAGAGTTGTAATCAATATCACGAGGTACCAGCAACCGGGTCGATGCTCGCGGTGATGTGCAAGAGTTCAGGAGGTGGCCGAAGGAAGCACCGAGCGGGGCGCTTGCCTGTTGCGGCCTGGAACAGCTGCTACTAATCAGCATTACATGGAAAATCCGTGCTCTCCAGAGAACCTTCCATTCTTGCGCGAGGTATAGAACACTCTCATGAAGGCTACACAGTATGTGTGGGTGTCTGCCAACTTCATCTACGATTTCTCTTCCAACGCCTTCGCATCAGCCTCCTTAGGTGTTTGCGCTCCTGACGCAGCTGTCTTCTCACCTTCCACCACCTCAACATGATCCCCGCGACGACGGCCCTTGCCAGTGATGTCGCGCCACATACCACCGAAGTTCCTGGCTAAACTCTCACGGCCTTCCCACAGAGGATATACACCAACAGCCATAGTACTGCACATCAGCCAGATGATGCCAACGATGACCCATCCTGAGAAGAACGACTGACTGAAGATGTAGCCGGAACCGTAGAGAGGCATTGGCCAAAGTACGAGAAGAACGAGTGTCAGCGTAGCGGTGGTGATCTTTGCAATCTTGGAGGCGCGGAACAGCTTGGCTTGTTCGGCGGCTTCGGCTTCTGGGGAGAGGGCAGCATGGCGGCCGTGCACGGCTTCGATATCCATGTGCGCAGCTGCTGTAACATCCGAATCGTCGACAAGGCGAATGTTCTTCATTGACACCCAGTCGTAGTTGTCAACTCCGAAGATCAGGGTCAGGACCGGGATGAAGATGACGGGTGAAAGCAACGCGACCACGTTACCAGCCAACATCGGGTTGTTGGCGCCAGAAGTAGCGACAGTGATCACACCGTCGTTCAGCTTGGAGGTGGTGACGAGCCAGGCGGTGATGCTGCAGCAAAGACCCAACACTGGCGACAAAGTAGCCGCCCATTTGTTCTGACCCTTCCACATCAATGTGAGGGTGGCTGGAAGCACCGCAGACGAAATGATTACGCCCATGAAGACGTACAGCCAGCCCATGCTGATACCTGCATACCAGAGGCCGGTTGAGAATGCAGCCATGACAAGTCCAAATCCACATACGCAGACGTGTGAAGTGTAGACGAGACGTCGGCCACTCGCGCTGGGGTTGATATAGGTTGCGTAGATGTCGTATGTCAGAATACTGGAGACGGCGATGAGCTGCGCCGAGAAAGCTGAAGTGACGGCCATGAACACGACTAGAAGGGTAGCCACTGCACCGCCAGATCCGAGCAGCGCTACAGCAGCGTACGGAAGGGTGAGGCCCGCGCTGATCGAGGCTTCATCCATACCGTTGGGGTAGGTAGGGAAGTACTCCGTGCTCTGCAGTGCCAGAGCGGCGAGGCCCATAGTGGTTGCGCAAAGCCACTGAAAACGAGATCAGACGTGATTCGACATGCGCATGGAAGAAGTACTTACAGGGATAGCGAACCATGAAAGACCTCCGATGATGTATCCGGGAAGAGCATGAACTGGGGATGCGGCAATGGCCTTGTTGTAGTCTGACTATTGTCAGTTTCTGATACCATTTGATGTAAAGGAACACTCACATCCGTTGTCCATGAAGACAGTTCCGAAGTTTCCAATGATGTTGATGACGAAGAAGATGGCGCCATCTTTGCTCCTCATCGTAAGATAGCTTCCGCCAGCGTTGCCGGGAACGGGGGTGGTTGCCGAAAGCTCCTGCAGACGATCGTACACTGCTTTGGGCGAGCCGAGCCGGTCACCAGTAGCATAAGTCGTGAATGCGAAAGTAAGGAGGATGATGAGGAGGATAACGGTGTGGACGTAATCCGTGAGAAACGTAGCCTTGATACCACCAAACATGGTGTAGACTACGACACCCAGAGGAAGTAGGAAACAGGCTGCGGCTGTAGGCACACCGGTTAGAGAGCTGATGACGGCAGATCCACCAGTCAACAACATGGCTGTCACGAGTATGTTGGTGAAAAGGCCGAACGTGATGTACACGAAATGCGTGGCCTTTCCGTATCGAGCACGCACAGCTTCAAGGAACGTCTACGGGATGGTCAGATCTGAATCTACGATGGCTAGGATATGCTGCACTCACATGAGCGTTAGGAGCTCGCCTCTTGAGTTCGATCGCAACCGTAGCAAAGAGTAGGATCTGTACGGTAGCACCAGCTGCATACCAGAGAGGTCCAGAAACACCTAATGGCGATCAGATTTGTGAAATTTTGTGATGCAGTGTCGAAACGAACCGTAGCGGAACGCGACCGAAGAACTCTGCAACAGAGTAGCTGCCCAAGTCCATGAAGACACTACTGCTGAAGCTACTAGGCCAGACTTGACAGTACGACCGGCAGTTGAGAACATCTCCGAAGTTTGCACCTCATTGTTGTAGCGTTTGAGGACCCAAGTGGTGAAGACCTTGAGGTTGTCAGATCGATGCGCTTGTTGCAACCATGTACACATACCATGCCAAGGGCGAAGAGAAAGCCAACACCAAGCACGATGCCATAGCCCCAACCCTGGCCAAGGGGAGAAGCAGAAGGGCCAACAGGAGTACCGCCGCCAGCCATGTCGAGAGATGTAGCTTGTTTCAACGTCAAGCTTCAAAGCGTAGGCTGTCGAACCATCCCAGCGGGGCAGACGAGGTATCTATACCCCAATGCATCCCCACGATTACCGTTTCCCGGCTTCAGCTCGGTCCCAAGACTGCTATCTCGAGCCTTTCAACCGCACACATCCATCTCGTCGATTGGCAATCGGGCCGGCACATGATTGGTTGAAGATAGGCGCATGTCAAGACTAGGTAACGTGTAACGAAGGCCAAGACTAGAAACCTCTCGTCTTCTACGCAATTTTGAAGCTTATATTAGCAATGAGGTCTTGTTGTAGGGCACTTTCAGCTCTTAGCCGACTGGGCGTTGCATGATCGTTCGCCTATGCTGATAACGAACGGCCTTGCAACGGAGGTGCATCGCGCTTGCCTTGTAGTGGCGGGCAGGACCGAATGGCTCAGCGGAAATTTTCTTGCTGAGCCCTGAGTGGCTGATATGTGTGACTTTTTGCTTGGACAGACGGAACTGGGTCTGGGCGTGGAGATGGTGGGCATGTTGGAGGCAGGTTGGGGTTGGTGGTTTCGATGAGGTAAACGGGAGAGTGAAGATAAGCGATGGTGTGGTAGCCAATGAGCACACGCTGGCGGTGGAGTCCGAAGTCGGCTTGCAGGAAACGACCCCGGCTTTCTCCACGGTAATGATCGACCTGCATCTTCGCAATGTTGTCGTTACTCGATAGCTTCGACACATACGTGCTTGTGTGTCTCGAGGTTGAGCTTCAGCTAAATCGTTACCGTCGCCTGTCGCGCATGTTCTTGCGATTGAAGCTTGAAATCGGCATTCACGGGCCCTCTTTCCGCCATCCTCTGCCGCCATAGTCCATCATGGAACTACGTGCTTAACACAACCAATGTCGTGAGGACAGCATGGATCCACTCCGGCTTTCATTGAGAGAAAACCCAAAACTCGTGCGCGGATGAGAAGAGCTAAAACCTAGGTATACAACGGATTCTCGCGTTCAGGTCATTAGAACTACGGAAGTCTGTCGAATCTTTGATCCAGAGCAGCGGAACATATTGATACGAAGGAGATCCTACCGGCACATTGCGCCCTGCGACTGCAACGAACGTTTCTAAACCTTTGAGAAGGCTCGCTGTTTCATGTACGAGATGTTTGTATTAGCGTCGCGTCATGGAGGAGCAACTCGTAATTTGTGCCTCAATCGGCTTATTCACGATCACACAAAGGTGTCGCACTAGTCAGCGCTTAATGCTCAGACATGCGTGTTGCAATACCTAAGTGGACTTCAGTTTGCTTTAACGCTGGTTGCTGTCAACACACCTCCACAATAGGACTATCATGGAAAACATCTCAGCGCAAATGCCAAACTCGTTGAATGCAGAATTGGTAATACCGCGTACTTGTTGTGCACGGTGAGGAGCGAGTGACCCGATCCACGGCTCGGTTGGCGTGTCCATTCGCCAACGTACGACGACCAGGAGCAATTACCCCGGCCTCTTTCCTATTGAGGCAGACATTCAGCGGGAGCTCCGGATGTCACATATATACATCCAAAAGTATTGAGCTCTTTTTCTTTGTGTTTACAGACTACTTCCAGCATCATGCTTTCCATCTTGATACTCGCGGCTGCATTCGGTGCCCTCGCGCACACCAACCCAAACGGATGTCCGCGCAAGGTGGGTGCGGAAGGCGTACAGGTTCGCATACCTCCAACGTTCAATACCACCGATCGTGCCCATCACGGCAGATCATGGCGACCACCACCTGTCGGGTTCTACTTCCAACCATGGTCGATGATTCTTGCGTCAAACCCGCAGTACGCTGCGATGCGGAACGTGCAATACGACCCGACACCGATCGATCCATCTGAGCCCACTGGACTTGTGAACGACCTCTTCTCATTCCAATTCCCAGGCAACGACACAATCATTACAACATATGGCGTCGATACACCGCATCCCTACTTGCCAGCAGTGCTGGACTTTGCAGCGACAGGGATTTTGGTCGGGGCTACGTGCCA